CGATTCAGGATAGACTCCGTACAGCCCAGTCCAGACAGAAGAGTTATGCGGACCGGAAGGTTCGTGATGTTTCCTATATGGTTGGAGACCGGGTTCTGCTTTGGGTTTCGCCTATGAAGGGCGTTATGAGTTTTCGGAAAGAAAGGGAAATTGTGTTCGAGGTTTATTGGTCCCTTTGAGATATTGTGGTGTGTTGGGGAGGTTGCTTATGAGCTTGCCATACCTCCTAGCCTGGCAGGAGTTCATTCGGTATTTCATGTTTCGATGCTCCGGAGGTATCACGGTGATCCGTCGCACGTGTTGGATTTTAGTTTAGTCCAGTTGGACAAGGATCTATCTTATGTTGAGGAGCTAGTGGTGTTATTGGACAAGCAGGTTCGAAAGTTGAGGTCAAAGAACATTGCATCAAAAAAGGTCTAGTGGTGAGGTCAGCTGGTCGAGGAAGCAACCTAGGAGACCGAGTAGGAGATGTGCAACCGTTACCTCATCTTTTCACTACTTCAGGTATGTCTCTATGCTCGTTAGAGGACGAACGAATGTTTAAGTGTAGGAGGATGTAATGACCCGGCCGGTCGTTTTAAGAATTAATGTCCTGATCCCCTATTAACTGCTTTCCCGTGTTTGTTTCTGCTATTGTGAGTTGACGGGAGGATTTATTTGGAGTTTCGGAGAGTTTTGGGACACTTAGTCCCTAAATGAGAGTTTAAGATTTAGAATTTGGACCGTAGTCAGAGCCGTGTGAAGACGGCCTCGGAATGGAATTCAGTTGGTTCCGTTAGCTCCATTGGGTGATTTCAGGCTTAGGGGTGTGTTCGGATTGTGTTTTGGAGGTCTGTAGCTTATTTAGGCTTGAAATGCCGAAAGTTGAATTTCTGAAGTTTCTAGTTCGATAGTGAGATTTTGATTTAAGGGTCGGAATGGAATTCCAAAAGTTAGAGTAGCTCTATAGTGTTGAATGTGATATGTGTGCAAAATTTCAGGTCATTCAGACGAGGTTTGATAAACTTTTTGATCGAAAGCGTAATTTGAGAATTTTGGAGTTCTTAGGCTTGAATCCATGGTTAATTCGATGTTTCGATGTTGTTGTAGGTGTTTTAAGGATTGGTATAAGTTTGGATAGTGGCATATGACTTGTTCGTGCTTTTGGTTGAGGTCCCCGACGCCTCAGGATGATTTCAGATGGTTAACAGGAAGTTTGGAGTTGGGAATTTGCAGCTGAAGCTGGTGAGTTTGCTGTCATAACTGCACCCGCGGCTTGGGGACCACAGATGCGAGCCCACAGAAGCGAGATCACTGCCGTAGATGCGGCCAAAGGTGAAGACAACTAAAACCACAGAAGCGGGAGGTGTGCCGCACCTGCGGAACCGCAAATGCGGATTCTGGGTCGTAGGTGTGGAGAAGGGGACTTAAGTGAAAACTACAGAAGCGGTTTCCTTGACCGCAGAAGCGGTAGTGCAGAAACGGAAATGGACCACAGGTGCGAAAAACCTGGGCCAGAAAGTATAAAAAGATTTCCTTCGCGAATTTGGGTTATTTTTTCATAAATTTTCAACGGGAAGAAGTTTTGGAGAGCATTTTCAAGGGAGATTTTCAGAGGGATTCATTGAAGTAAGGTCTTTGGTCCTTAAGCTCGTTATTATGGTGATTTTTATCATTGTAAGCATGAAATTTGAAGGAAAATCAGTGGTAAATTGAGGGTTAGGTCTTGGTTAATTGGAGAGCTTTGAGTGGTGATTTGAGGGACCATTTGAGGTTCGATTTTGGTACTTTTGGTATGACTCAACTCGTGAGAGTATGAGGATTCTGAAAATGTAAATTTCACTCGATTTCGAGACGTGGGCCCGGGGGCATTTTGGTTATTTTTCCTAACTTCGTGTATTAGCTTAGAATTAATTAGTGGAATCAGTTACTTGAAGTTATATTTACATTATGCAATTGATTTGAATAGATTTGGACCATTTGGAGTTGAGTACTCATGGAAAGAGCGTGGTTTCAGGTTGATTTTGAGTCGGTTCGAGGTAAGTGGATTGCCTAACCTTGTGTGGGGAACTCCCCTTAGGATTTGGTATTGTTGATATTTGAAATGCCTTGTATGTGAGGTGACAAGTGCGTACTTGTGCTAATTGTTGAAAATCCTTTTTTCGTTAAGTAACTTAAATTGTGTTTCCTTTCCTGTTTATACTATTTGCAATTTAAGCCTGCTGTTAGCTTAGGGAAGTATGTCTAATTGACTTAATTGCTTTACTTGCTCAAACTGCCTTATTTGGATTATGTGTAGCATGCTAGGTTAGAAATACCTGTTTTATCTTGGTATGAAATTTGAATTGAATTGTGTATTCTTCGTGTTGTTGTTGTATGTTTACTTTGGGACTACGAGACGGTATACCGGGAGATCTCCTTGCATGTTTACTTTGGGACTACGGATCGGTATTCCGGGAGATCTCCCTGCACTTTTACATTGGAACTATGGGACTGCACCCGGTAGATTCCCCCAGTACTGAGTATTTACATTTGGGGACTACAGATCGGTATTTCGGGAGATTCCCGCACACTATGAGTTGGACTACGGGACGACACCCGGAAGATCCACTGGATATTTATATTTGGGACTACAGGACGTATCCTGGGAGATCCCTGGCTTTTATCTCTGTGTTGATTTGTATTCCTTTCTGTGATTATTTTGTCTCAGTTGTAGTTGTTGTTGTTCTATCTATCATGTGTTATTTCTTATTGTTGCACTTAATTATACTGTCTTATTCTATACTGTGATACCTTGTTTTTTCATTTAAACTCAGTAGGGCCCTGACCTTACTCGTCACTACTCGACCGAGGTTAGGCTTGGCACTTACTGAGTATTGTTGTGGTGTACTCATGCCCTTTCTGCGCATGTTTTTCATGTGCAGATCTAGGTACTTCGACTCAACCCTACTACCCTTGAGTCGAGACAATTCTCCAGAGATTTTGAGGTATATCTGCCGCGTCCGCAGACCGAGGAGTCCCTTTCCATTCTCCCTTATAATACCATCCCTTCTGTATTTACTTTTGTTTAAACATTCTGGAGTTAGACACTTGTAGTTATTCAATAGCTTGTGATTTCATGAGATTTCGGGTTTTGGAAAATGTAGTTTTAGTTTGAGAGTTGTATTGTATATGCCGAGAGACATCTTAAACTTTCATTTGATATTTTTCTACAGTTTTGGCGAGTTTATCTCTGTTGTTTTCTTTTCTGCAATTTGTTGGGTTTACCTAGTCGTAGAGACTAGGTGCCATCACGACAATTCATGGATGGCGAACTCGGGTCGTGACATTTCAACTACTTGTTTGTTTGGTTGGATCTGTTGCTGATTTAACTGGTGTTAATAATAGTCATCTTTTCGTTGCTTAAAGTAGTTGAACTTAGGGGGTACTATTTAGCTTTCATCTATTTGTTTGTTTGGTTGGATCTGTTGCTGATTTAAGCAGTGTTATTAAAAACCATCTTTTCGTTGCTTAAGGTGATGAAGCAATGCGAAGTGAGGGGTTATCACTTCATGGGTGAACCCGTGCGCCTCAGAGAAGTGTGCATTTCAAATAAGGATGTGCAACGTGATCCCAACGAGAAGCGATCCATTCTTTAAATCTCAAGTTTAAGGGGTTGGCTTAATATCCGAGTTGTATATTGGATGCTTAAATTATCAATCTTTATTGCAATTTGATTATTTAGGTTCTAAAAACAACTATGCTTGATATTTTTCTATTTTGTAAATTATGCGTTTCACTTTGACAAAGCATGTGCTTCAGTTCTTGCTTTTCACTCATGCCCGATGAGCCTTGTCACTTTTTTGCGCTTTTTCACTTTTAAATGCATTTAATTTAAGAATTTCAGGACCAGCTCTCAAAGGTATCAGGTTAAAAAAGATGGATTAAATTGCAAAAAAGACTCGTGGGAAGTAGACAGAGACTTAGTTGATACAAACCTATGAATAGAAAAACGAAGACGGGTGGATCTACGTACCCCGAGAATAGAAGCTAGAGAACGTAAGTCTGAAGAAGAGTCTTTTACCAAATTAACTTGAAGGACCAAATTGGACCTGGTCATAAGTTTTAAGAATTAAAGGTATTGTTTCTCACTTTAGGTTTACATGACACTGTCTTTTGAGAGGAATATGTAATAAGGCCTCATTCTGCCTTAAAGTTGTTCCTCCATCAATTAGAATTTGTCATATGGAATAGTGCCCTATTATTGTTTCTTCTATTCTTCCTTCCTACCCTGACACAATATTTCCGTTTGTTAGAACTATTTTAGGTAACTGTTCTTGTATTCTAAGTTAAATGTTCTTTTTGACTTGGTTACTTTATGATGTTCTTGTTCCACTTAGGATCCTTCAAGGTAAGAATTAAAAAATGTATGTTGTTTAATTAATGTTAAATGGGAAGATTATATGGGCCACCTTCTAGTTGTAAAAAAGACAATTACCTTCTTTTTTGTCTGCAGTTTATAGAGTAGAAGAGGGGAAGAGTTTAGGATAATTCAACATCGGAAACAAATGTCCTTATTAAGCAGGATGAATGTTCACTTTGGGATGTTTCACCTCTGCAACTCCAGTGTTTTGTTTTCTTTTCTATTTCCTGAATGGTCAGTTTAAAGAAGTTACTACAAATAATTATTCTTATGGTGAATGAAAGAAGCTTTTTTCTTTTGGATCCGGCAACTTGCTTAATGTAGTTGGTCATTAATCATTTGATATCTCTACACTTGTATTCTGAGCAAGCAATGGACACAAAGCATCGGTCTTCTCTCCTATACATTTTTGACAGGGGAAGGCCTTGACAGAATAGTGGTTCCTATGGTGAGCCGCAGTTGTATTGGTTACAGTGTTTTAAAAGGAGTTTTTGGAGCGGGTCCTGTGTCGGGACATAGTAAAAACACAGCAAGGCGATCCTGGGGGCAAAAGTATCGCGAGGCATAAGCCCCATTGTTCTGGGCATACGCTGAGGCGTTTGTAAGTTTTTGTTTTGGGGTGTAAGCCTAGGATGCCTCTCAGATTAGAATTAAAATTGCTAAACAAGTCCTTAATATATATAATATCAAAAAGCACAAAGTCGGCTTGTTATTAAATTCTAAAAAGTTTATAGTCAAGAAATTTCTTAGCCCTAATTTTTATTCTTTCTCTTCGTCATCTACCGGGTAAAGGAGAAAATGATCAATTTGCAATGACAAAGCAAACACGCATCATCCCCCATCACTTGCTCTGGTTCGACGCTTCTGATTGTAGATTCCTTCTTTGCTTGTCTTTCTTTTGAAGTTCTTATGCTCTTTCAAGTTAGTATATACATTTCTACTCTATATATTTCCAAAGTCTGATTAGTCTTTTCAGATGAAGTAATTCTGATTAGTTTTTAGTCAATTGTTGATTCTATTTAGTGTTTTAAGATGAAGCAGTTCTATACACATTTCCACTTGTTTTATATTTTATTGAAATTTCTTTAAATTCTATGTAATATTTACCTTCTTTTAATTATAATTTCCGTTATATCTGTTTGTAAAATATTACAAATAAACAGATATTATTTCCTGGCCAGCAAATAAAAAAGTTTAGAAGGAACTTATAAATAGAGTTAGAAAAGGCTAATTTACCGCTTATAATTACTTTACCTTTATTTTAGTTCCCAAAACTTGTTAAATATCAAATCATAATTGTCACAAATAATGAAAAAGAGATTATTGTATTTATAAATGAGAACTTGTACTTATAATTTTGTAAGGCTACACTAGGTGACGAATTTTTATGTAGTACAAATATGAGATGTTTAGAAAATTTTGAAAAAAGCGAAGATTAACTGAAATAACTAGGTTTAAACAGGTAGTTCATTTGCTTCCTACTTTAATTCTATTTCATGTATTAATTAATTTATTTACATTCAATTTGCATCATCAAGATAAAACAATTTGTTTACATGCAACTAAAATCCAATAATACTGTTTGGGGTTTTGAGCTTTGCAGCTTTCTAATATTAATTGCTAGAAAGAAGTGATGAAATGTTGAAGAGGGTGATGGAATTGGTGTTGATGGGAGTCAATAGGAAGTTTTTTCTTTTTAACTTTATCTAAATTTTTATCTTTATTTTAGTGATATTTTGATTTGATGTTTCCTATTATATACTGATGTAAAAACTTTAACTGTAAACTTAAAACTTGTTGAAAGTGTATATGACATGGTTATTTGTAAGCTTTTATTGGTCTAACTATAAATTTCCAGCCAGAAGTTATAAATGTTTTTATACTTTCCGTTTATCAATTTGTTATTTCATGTTAATACTAATTCCCCTTCATATTCTTCTGCATTGAGTCTCAGACATATCTCCTTTGCTCTCAGTTTTATTTATGTCTTTGTTTATGCATTTAAAATAAGAGTCTGAACAACTACATTGACTAATATTAGAACCAAATGGGATGAAATCAGAATTTGTTATGGGTAATTTGAGCCTTGATGAAAATTGAGGTGGAAAATGATTTTAGAATGTTGGAAGTTGAAGAAATTTTTGGTGGCTGGTCAATTGCCAGCCAATATAGCATAGGGAGAGAAATTGTTATTTATCATTGTTCAAGAGGCAAATGATTCTAACCATCTAACACTTCCTCTCTTGTCCTTAATTCTTTTAATATTTGAAATTTTTTTGCTCATATGATACAGGTTGAATATGAGTTCATATCCGCCCTGAACAACATTTTGTGAATAACCTCTCGTTGTTGTTGCAGTGGTCTCCATTTTCAACGGAGGAAGCCCTTCTTAAGCAAGTGAGTTTAAAACTGCATCAATTTGTCTCTTCTTAATTAAATAATACATTACGCATAATGGCACCCAAGGATGTGGCCTAGTGGTCAATGAAGTGGGTGAGAACCATGAGGTCTCAGGTTCAAATCCCAGCGGAGGCAAAAAACACTAGGTGATTTCTTCCCATCTATCCAAGCCTTGGTGGATAGAGTTACTTGGTACTCGTTGCTGGTGGGAGGTGGCAGGTATCCCGTGGAGTCGAGTTGCGTGCAAGCTAGCCCGGACACCACGGTTATAAAAGAAGAAAAAAATTAGGCATAATATATCCTGACAAGGTTAATAGCCAATGTTATTATCCTATAAAGGGCCAACTTTTCTTTTTAAATGCTAAAGGGAATTTGGAAGCGTGGAGTTTGACATGTAAGAGAGAGCTCAAGCGTGAGGGGTTGGTGCTCTGGAATGCGAGGCCATGCGAGTAGCAGAACATCTAATGCATAAATTAGACATCCCTTAATTAGTAACTCCCTTCGTTTCAATTTATGTGAACCTATTTGACTAGGCACGGAGTTTAAGAAGAAAAAAAAGACTTTTAACTTGTGGTATAAAATGTATATTGTGTGGCTATAAATCGTTGCATAAAGGTAAATTGTTTCCAAATATGGTATGGACTAAAAAGGAGATATGTTCACATAAATTGAAAAGGATGGAATATAATAAAAGATCTTGAGAAGATGATGCCGTTTCTCATGGCATATGAAAAGAATTAAAAGTCAAAGAGTGGGAGATAAACCCAAATGAAACTGCTTTTGCTTTTTGTAGTGTTGAAGTTTCTGCCATCTAAACACATGATTTCTTGTTAAATGCTAAAGGGAATTTGGAAGCGTGGAGTTTGACATGTAAGAGAGAGCTCAAGCGTGAGGGGTTGGTGCTCTGGAATGCGAGGCCATGCGAGTAGCAGAACATCTAATGCATAAATTAGACATCCCTTAATTAGTAACTCCCTTCGTTTCAATTTATGTGAACCTATTTGACTAGGCACGGAGTTTAAGAAAAAAAAAAAGACTTTTAACTTGTGGTATAAAATGTATATTGTGTGGCTATAAATCGTTGCATAAAGGTAAATTGTTTCCAAATATGGTATGGACTAAAAAGGAGATATGTTCACATAAATTGAAAAGGATGGAATATAATAAAAGATCTTGAGAAGATGATGCCGTTTCTCATGGCATATGAAAAGAATTAAAAGTCAAAGAGTGGGAGATAAACCCAAATGAAACTGCTTTTGCTTTTTGTAGTGTTGAAGTTTCTGCCATCTAAACACATGATTTCTTGTCATTGATGAAAAGTTGTGTTGTGGAATCTTCTACATTTGCTGCTTCAAAATTCAGGATGCCCTGATGGTTGGATCCTCAGAATCTTAGTCTTTTTAAGCTCTTCACATCTGAAAGTTACCTTGGGCTAGTTACTTAACTATTCTATCAGTGGACTATTCTTCATCTCTAAGCACCTCATCAGAATGAACTTTTTAACTACTTACCTGAACCATTGACCAGATGTCTTAGATTAAATAAGACGTTTTGCTTTTTTTCTTTCTTTTTCTCTTGAGGTGTTGGAGGGTTTGAATTTGTTGCCATGTTAAAGTTTCCTGGACAGCTGGACCTATCTTGATTAGATAAAACATTGTCTGTATTATGTCCTGACGAGGTTACTAGATACTGTTATCATTCTAGAAAAAGGAATTTTCTGTCTGAATGCTAATGGAGAAGAGGGGTTGCTCTGATGGTAAGCAACCCCCACTTCCAACCGAGAGGTTGTGGGGTTGCTCTGATGGTAAGCAACCCCCACTTCCAACCGAGAGGTTGTGAGTTCGAGTCTCTCCAAGAGCAAGGTGGGAAATTCTTGGAGGGAAGGATGTCGAGGGTCTATTTGGAAACAGCCTCCCTACCCCAGGGTAGGGGTAAGGTTTGCATAAACACTACCCTCCCCAGACCCCACTAAGTGGGATTATACTGGGTTGTTGTTGTTGTAATGCTAATGGAGAATATATAAGGTTGGAGTTTGACATGTGAGCAAAAGAGCTCAAGTTAAAATGAGGAAGGGTGTTTGGGACTGCAAGGGCATGTGAGCAGAGAATCTCTGATGAATAACTGAGAGATCCTTTAAATTTTGTGGCAAGTCATCCTTAATTGCCAGATGCATTATGTCTATTTGATTCTTCTTCCTGGTTCCAACTGTTGATATACCTTATCTATAACCAACTATTCTTTTCCCACAACAGTTGGATGACATTGGTGATCATGGGAGTAGGATCATAATCTACAATTTGTGGCTAAATAATGAAGGCAAAATGGAGCTTGACTTTCAGTCAGATCCTGAGGTTTGATTTCTTTATCTGATTTAATTTTCCCATTTGGAATCTCTTGCACTGTTATTTACCATAATATGACTACTTCTACTACAATAATTGCAGGATATTCGTATCTCTTGTGATGCAGAAAGTGGTAAAAGTTGCTCCAG